TTGAATGGCCATTACTTACTTATATGCCATAGGATAATTTTATTAGTATATTGTATGAAACACATAATATTCTTATAAGGAATGAAAGGTAGTAGTGACTTTTGCGTTAATTATTTACTGCTAATTCATTGATATAATTTCAGTGGCCATGTCAAATAGGAAATTAAACTACAAATTCATGCTGTATTACCTGAAACTATAATTTGTTGTTGCAACAAGTAATAATTAATTATTGAATAACTGATCAACAAATTATTAGTGCTGATAAACTCGAATATTCTTTTGTCATTTTAATCGTCAAAAGTCTAGGCACTAGCAAAACTGATATCTCTAGTATATGTAAGGATAATTACTCTACATTCATTGTGGCGGTAACTATGTACCATCTTATCGATTAACAAATATTCCAAAATTATTGAAATCAAAGTAAGAACTTAGCACTGGTAAAGTTAGATAGCAGTAGCTCGGAACGAGTAACTTACCTGAAATCATCGAAATTACTGTAGCGAGCAAAAAAATTACAAAAAACATAATGACATTGCAAGATAATTATCATTATTCATCATTTCTCAAGAATCTGGTACTTGACTCAAACTTTCCAGAAATGACTCTTATTTTGATTCGTTGCTTGTTGCTTTCCACCAAATCAAATGACCAGGTGTTGATAATAATGACTGCTTTTTTGTGAATCTTGCTAGTAATGACATCCTTTCCTTCTTTTAAGTTGCAATTACTAACAGAGTCTCATTTAGAATGGTAGACTAAATTTATTTTACTCGAATCCTTACTATAATATTATTATTGTTAAACGTTAACTAAGTAATATATATGAGTTTTAAAAATATAACGTATGAAATGATAAGACTATATAAAAAGTTAGTGATTATGACTTGATGGGTCCATTAACTTCAACGTATCCATTTGAATTATTTGGAAAGTTTTCGAAGATATTTGGGATACTTGAAAGCATTTGCGGTGCTTATGTTGAACTCAGAATAAAGCGCACTTCAGAAGCACTCTCACAGAACAAAAAAGCACCAAGTACTTACTTTGATAAAGAAGCGCACTTTTTTAGTAAGACAAGAAGGTTTGAGCGTGCAAAACTAGTAAACGGGTCATGTCTCACAGTCATTTGATCCATCGATTTTTCTCACAGAAGCGAAATTCATGCGACTACTCTCCTGCCAATAAATTGCATTTTGTGAATAAAAAAGGAAAATTTTGCTTGCGATTAGCTGCATTTGAGTGAAAGGTCTTGATCGATGAGAATTTGGCTGTTCAAGTTTAAACATTGTCACATATTCAAACATGTAAAGCAGATCAGGTTTCGAGTCGTAACGAACTTGGATTTGCTTGGAAAGTTCAAACAGATCTGTTTCTCTTTGAAAAATTCAGTCACAAGCTAACTCCTAAATGCGAAAATAAAGTGATTGTAAGGGTTATTTCAGCTTTCAGTTCGCAGCCTCAAGTGAGTGCTATGACTTAGAAATGACTCAGTGGATACTGCCTTTAATTTTGCATTCCAACACGGTCTTTGAATGGTAATATTTATTTGAAAATTTGTCACTGAATTGAACTGAGCTCAGTTTGTGCTTTGCATTTTATGCTTGCAAAAATGAAAGAAAACTTTATCAGAAATATAGTCAAAGTTTACTTTGGCAAAGCTGCTAAATTACAGTATATCCTAAGCAAGCAGTTGACTGACTCTTTTGGACGATAAATTCATTCTCAATCCACAAGTCCGTTGGTTATTTGTGCTAAGAATTTAACATTTTCGAATATATTTTTTATTTTCTCGTAAACGTTTAACACGTTTAATCCAATCTCATTATGATTGTCAGTGCACTTTTACTTGCCTAAACACGTAACTTTTCAACAGAAACATACTTTGCGAGAAAAATTTGAACAATTAAATATACCAAATGTGATGAATTTTGGCTAAAATTAGTGTCTCTATGCAGTTCCATGACAAGTCTAAGATGATAAGGTATAAATTAATCACGAATTGTAGAATGACAAGGAAGTGTTTAGAAAATAATGATCAAAGGCATTTTTGACTAATACGGAGAAAAAAAATGAATTCTGTAGGTAAGCCATAAAGAATTGTTCTGTAGAATGAGTGAGTTCTAATTTTTTGCAGTCAGAACTACCAGACTAGGTTTAATTATTTCAAGTGAGTTTTTTGTCATCAACCTTCAGTGTTCTAAAAGTATTTCAGACGGTTTTGTTTCAGAAAACATCAGAATCTCAAATAACCAAATTGTAATTGAATGCATAAAAATTAGCGTTTATATTGACTCCATTTCTCAGTTAGTATTAATTAGATTTCAAGTTTTTCAAAAATTATCCAACTAATATATATGTGATTTGAATACTTTTTGTAATGGAAGTACACTTCTGCTCATCAAATTTGACTGCTATCACATTATTACAACCTTATCATTAAATGCTTGAAAATGTTCAGTAATGGTTATTTCACTAAGCAAAAATTTGAAAGCGGGCAAAAGCAAGAGTGCAAAAGTTTTATGGCTTCTAGTGATGATTAGTTGCATTGTGAATTGATAACAAGACGACGATTCCAGGAATTGGCTGTGATAACACCTTTGAACGCCTACAAATATGCATACGTTCAGTTGCTTTTCCTATCACTTTCTGTTCTGCTCCTTAACCGTAATAGAAGCGCGTTACAAGCCATTTAGATACTTCCGACATGGTTGATGATGAGATCACCGCACTGGTAATTGATAATGGATCAGGAATGTGCAAAGCAGGATTCGCTGGCGATGATGCGCCTCGTGCTGTTTTCCCTTCCATCGTTGGACGTCCACGTCACCAAGGTGTCATGGTTGGCATGGGTCAAAAAGTAAGCATATATGACAAATTGAAACCAACAAATTTCCATTAATTCTTGAAATCCAAGAATTATTTAACAATAATAAATTTGCTAGATGCAAGCTTTAGGATTCTTATGTTGGAGACGAAGCTCAATCAAAACGTGGCATACTAACACTAAAATATCCAATCGAACATGGAATCGTTACTAATTGGGATGATATGGAAAAAATTTGGCACCATACATTTTATAATGAGCTTCGTGTAGCACCTGAGGAACATCCGGTACTTCTCACTGAAGCACCGCTAAATCCCAAAAGTAATCGTGAGAAAATGACACAGGTTATCAATTTACTTTTATTGTCATCAAAAATGCGAAAAACAAGACTGATTTAGAATGAAATTTGAATAAATTTGGAGCAGAAATTGTTAAAAAATAATTAATATTTCAAAAATCGAAGAAATGATCGTATGGAAGGATGGCTGGATAGTGCGTTCACTGAGTGAGTGAATGGTTGAGTGATTCTCTATTTTTATATTAATACATGCGAAGAAGTTATAGAATATTAGATTCCGTGTTGCAGCTGTTTTCAAAGATTGCAAGTGTAGCTTTTTTATTCAAAAGTGAACGATTTTCTGAGCAATTCGTCATGAAATACCACTTAGTTCACACTCACTTGCATGAAATCTCAATCAACTTTAGCTTAATTGTGCCATTTTCAAAAGCTCAACAAAAAATTCCAAAGATAATTTTTCGTTAGGGAATACTGTAAATGCTTTTGAAGACGCTCTCCATTGGAACAGGTGAAAAATTTTTGAAATTTCGTTCTAAATGGATTTTTTAAGCATTCACCTGCTGTTATTCTGTTTTCTGTTATATTGTTTATTGGATAAATTTCAGAATTTCGCTTTTTTGCCAGGTGTAAAAACTACCACTCACTTAAAACTGTTATCACTATTAATTTAAAGTGTTGATAATTTTATTCGGAAATGATATTGCTTCGTCGATGTAAATCTGTATAATTTAGCTGTTTTATTATCTCAAAAATCCATTAGTGATGAATCACGCATTATAATAGAACATAGTAGGAGCATTGAATTACTCTAATTTTTGATTTAATGCAGAGACTAAATTTTATAAATTTTCAATTATATTCAAATATAAAAGATTTTAGAGGGATTTAATGAAAAAACTTTATACAGATTATGTTTGAAACATTTAACTCTCCGGCAATGTATGTAAACATCCAAGCAGTATTATCGCTCTATGCATCTGGTCGTACGACTGGAATTGTTTTGGATACAGGAGATGGTGTTACACATACAGTACCAATTTACGAAGGTGATATTGCAGCAAGTTAATGTATTTGATCAAAATTGAAAATAAGTCAATTGAAAAAATAAGGTGTAGAAATAAGTCTAGATGATCCAAAAGTATCAAAAAAAATTTCCATTAGCTCTCAGCAAATTTAAGGATATGCGTTGCCCCATGCTATACATCGTCTTGACCTGGCTGGTCGTGATCTCACAGATTATTTGATGAAAATATTGACCGAACGTGGGTATACATTCACAACAACAGGTAAATAACACTAAGTTTCACACAAGTATTAATTGTTGAACTTGAGTCTTCAAAATAACTGTAACCAACGATAAGCTTAATTCATATGTACTCCAATTACAATTTAAGAGGCTACATCTTCACTATAAAAAAGCAAAATACAGTACCTGCTCCTTGCAAATATGCAATTTTTTATATTTCACATTGAAATCAATTGCATATTCGTGCGTTTATTTGCAGCTGAAAGGGAAATTGTTCGTGATATGAAGGAAAAATTATGCTACGTTGCCTTGGATTTCGATCAAGAAATAACTACTGCAGCAACTTCATCAGCGCTTGAGAAAAGTTACGAATTGCCTGATGGACAGGTGAATAATTTAAAACGAAGTTTCATGCCAGAAAGCTTCCACCATAGATTTAAATTAGTAGTGCAGGAGGTTGCGAACGCTACACACCTCAACTAATAAGCAGAAGTACCATTTCTGCCAATTTTGCATTATTTTCAAGGTTATAACTATTGGAAATGAACGTTTTCGATGTCCTGAAGTATTGTTTCAACCAGCATTTGTTGGTAGAGAAGATCGTGGCATCCATGAGACAACATATTTTTCAATAATGAAGTGCGATGTGGACATTAGAAAAGATCTTTATGCAAATATCGTTCTATCAGGAGGTCTCATAAATAAGCTACTTTTAATTCGACTGAACAAAGTGTGACCATTGGTTCGTAATGTAATGATCATGTTGTAACAAACAGGGCAAATATGCTGAGACATATTAAAAAATAACTTTTTAAGTATATCAAGTAAATAAATGAAAATGATGAAAATTTAGGTTCCTCCATGTTCCCTGGCATAGCAGATCGTATGCAGAAAGAAATTCAACTAATGGCTCCAAGCACGATGAAAATCAAAATCATTGCACCACCCGAGAGAAAATACTCCGTCTGGATTGGTGGCTCCATCTTAGCCTCGCTTTCTACGTTCCAGCAGGTATTTAATATTTTCTCTACTTGCAGACGCACATCAAAAAAGCACTGCACAAAAGTCTTCTCATTCCTTTTAATTACCAACTTCACAATTAATTAGATGGTGACGATAAAATTAGTAGCACTACTCCTCTGCTAATTTTTTTGAGAAAAATATTATTTGTAGTTTCAAGGATGCGCTCTCATAACCAAATTCATAATCATAATCAATATAAAATGCTCTCGCTAACTACTGAAAGATTTGAATTTTGTGGACGCCGATGATGAAAAATGCAATCATGAAGGCATACATAGCAAGAGAAAAAGTACTTCTTGCAGATGTGGATATCGAAACAGGAATACGACGAATTAGGTCCACCTATTGTACACCGCAAATGCTTCTAAGCTTAGGAAATATTGAATGACAACAGCCAACAGATATAAATAATGAAACAGTACAGGTCACATTCAAAAGTAAGAATAGACTTGGAGATTGCTTAAATTGATCTGTTTCAAATTTCTTAAATTACAAAGTTCATATATTTCATCTTCAACTTTTGTACAAAAGTAAGAGAGAAATAACATTTATAGCAGTAAATTTGCTGATGTGGCACCTCTAAAGCTAATAAATAGCATCTGCTGTATCCAAGGCGTAGGTCCTATAATCCTAAATCTCTTCCACACTGTTTTATCATTCCTAAACAAATGCCAATCTCTTAAATATCGCAGTTACGCTATCCCAATCAACGCTACTGCAGTGTTTACAAATCGACTTGAAAAAGGCAGCAAATATCATTTCTAAACTTTCAAAGTTTATTCATCGTACGAGATTTATGATTTAAAATACACACAACCAAAAGCAACCTATGTACACAAGAACTAAAGACATATCTATATACATAACAACAAACGGCAAGGTATGGACAAGAAATACTCTGTACGTAAAAAAATTGCAGATTCTAAGCAATCCAACTCGTCTCAACATGTTTTCAGTCTTTCTTAGCTTCAACTTCTAGCCCCACATACACGTATACTAAAAAGTAGTGCAAAAGTAGAATTAAGAAAGACCATTATAACAAACCGCCTTGAGAACAAATCTTGTAACATTGGTGACAGAAAAGTTACCAATACATCACCTGATCAACGCTACCTCAATAGTTTACAAGACTTGAATCATGCGCATATGTCACCAAGTACAGTAGTACAAACTCCTTGATTTTTCTCAAATAAAGTCCCACTTCACCTCCATGAATACAGTACCTGCATCATATGCAATTTGACTGCAGAACACCATATCGAGGCGTTTAGCAGAATTTGCACAATGCACAAATGCTCCTAACAGAGTTAAATGCTAATAATAAATTGCGTTGGAAAAGCGATGCAAAGCTCTACTGCTGTATGGAATGTTCTTTTCTTTTAACGTTCTAAATATACATTGATATCTCCTACTCCAACACTGGAATGCATTTAATTTCAGCTTTTCCCGTCTTCCTACCATGTAACACAAAGCACGCACCTGCAACAAAACTCACGTGAGTTCATCTCTATTCCTTCACTCACAAAATCATTTCCGACACAAATACCCATCTGCTCAGTTACTATTCCAAATCTCGACTTATCTATAGAATGTTATTTCAAAGTGCATCGAAAAACACTATTATATAACCAAAAAGTTTATTAAGATGAGACCAAAATGATAACCATAACATAAATAACTACAACAGAATAATCAGCTAAATGATAACGATTTTCATCGAACTCTTCATTAGTCAAATATTTCTAGTATATGACACAAATGTATATGTGTATAATTACGTTCCTCTTCCGAAAAAGTCACGTTCCTCTCCCTCTCTCTCTCTCTCTATATCTATATATATATATACATATTGATTCATTTATTTATATTTACTAGACAAATTTAAGTGGAAATGGGTGAATAATTATAAGCATTAACTTTTTCCAATTCTACGCGCAGCATCGCTTGAACTCGAAGTGCACAAGAATAAAAAGCAAGAGGAGATGATTGCAAAAGAGAAAGAATTTCCAGATCAATGCATGATTTGTTGGTCATCATCGACTTGCAGTCATTACCAATGCGACGTGACTTCCAGTAATCATATACATCCGCGACCATATCTTTAGTAACTGATAACTTGCTCGCAATATCCTCCACGTTAACAAATGCGAAAAAGTTACGTTCCATCTTTTGCAACTGAAATATTGAAAAATACCAAGATCATATTCAAAACCAACTGAAAGTAAAAATCTAAAAATTTACTACGAAAAATCGAAACAACTACAATATTTATTTTCAAGCTTATTGAGGATGAACCGATAACACTGGTTCGGAATAAACAGCAGAAGTACAAGATTTCCCAGAAGGACACTTCTGTTTTGAATGATTTTTGCAGAAGCTAACCATACGCACACTACTATCCCTTGCATCATCATCATGTTCAATTCGCATTACCTGAAAAATAAAACAATATTGGAAACTTTAGATTACCTAACTGCAAGTATAAATAATCAAGAGGTTAAAATCAGCGTTCGTTTTCTAAAGGGCTTTTACCTTTACAAAAGAAAATAAAAACCTGTGAAATATGATAGTTATACATATAACAATAAGAGAAATAACCTGATTGTTATCTTTTTCACTTATACCGATCTTCACTTCTTTTTTACTTATAAAAGCTAGAGAGCATAATTTGTTGAAGTCTCAAGGCACATTTTACTTTGTATAATTAGCACGCAAAAACTCACCTGTCCACTTCGGAATGCACAAGACACATGGAAGGCAACCATGCAAGTCTCGACTGAACAGTGAATACAAACACCTTGCTTCATGTCACATACTGAGCATCTAAAAACAAATAGTGGAATAGCAATCACATTAAAAGCAAGCAAATAAATTATACGAAAGATTGCAACAAATATTAGTGGTCTAGCCGGAAGCATCGTTTGTTGCATTGAATAATCCATGACTTATGCATCGACTTATCAGTTTAATCTAATTTTCTCAAAATATTGAAATTACTGGCCACATTTGAAACAATGCCAAAAACTCCACCTCAACATTCGCTGAGAAAGTGGCACATCACTTAAATTTGAGATTGGTGCACGGTGAACAGCATCGATAAAGCGAACTTCCTTTATCCACAAAGCACAAGCAATGTGTGCCCATTTGTCCTTTTCTTGAGTGCATTTCATAGCACCACCAATTAAAGGACAAAGTGAGCATGAGGGGGAAGCCTGTAACAAACTGGAAGGTGAAAAAAATTGATATCTTACAATTCACTCACAATTTAAAAGAGTCGAGATGCTTTCCATCAGTGTAACTATGACAAACAGCGATCACTGGTTCACTCACGCTTACTTGTTATCATCATTTGTAACTTTTAACAGATAAAGTCACAATACAAAGATTACTTTGTGTCCTAAGATCTCGCATTTTTGGCACAGCCACTCCTTGGTAAGCACAGAGTCAAGTCCATAACAGGACTGATGTACAACTACTTTGCAACCATGACAAGAAATTATTTCATCGTCTTCTTCAAAATCGAACTGAAATATTGTTCTACGAAACCTGCGTGATTACTAAGGAATAGTTTCAAAAATTTAAGCTAGCTGAAAATATATTTAAAAAACATAGAACACACACTTTTCGAATTCTAAAGTTATTGAAGAATTTGGGTCATTACAATCAATTACTGAGATGATGCAGTAAGTTAATTTCAATCACTTCAATATTTATGATAAAACTGAAGTTGTCTGCGTGAAACTAAGATGAAAATCATGACGGATTCTAAAACAAACCTTCAACATCATTTTTCCAAAGAAATATATTTAAAAAACATTACTTGGTGGCAAATATCACAATAGCATGTATCGGTGGAGCCAACACGAGAAATAAGTGATGAGAGAATGTTGACATGAATAGCCTGAAACACTTTAAATACTCTAAAAGATGCAAAAAAATACATGAGACCAACACACTTCATACCTTATAGCAAGAGAATTCTAACTCATTCATAACTGAGCCTAGAGTTCTTGCACTCATAGGTGTCACACCAGCATTAATGCGCTTTTCGTTCAATTTGTACAGAAACATCAGATCGGCTTCATCAGACGAGTAATAGAGTAATCTCGGCATGGTTATACGTTTATGTTTAGCACCTACATATGGACAGTCATACACTGAGATCAGTAAATCATCTCTGAAAAAAATATGATTTCAACAGCCTTAAAGAAATTTGAAGTCTATAAATCTGCTAGAATAAATGAGAACTAAAACTTCCCACAATAATAACAAAACCTAAAAGATGGTGGTTGTAATTTTCGGATATCAGAAACTGGAGAATAGCAAATAATAGGTTCTTGAAACTTATGCACTGGAACCTGAAAATCAGATTTTAAAAAGGTGAACAAAGCATCATCAAAATTTAGTGGACACGAAATTCATATAGAAACTGAACATACCTGCACCCCAAGATTCCATGCCTCTTTCCAGCGATCGGCTATTTGTACATACATTGTTTCATCGTCGGATGACGAGTTGCTTTCATTCAAGTAATTTGACAAATCTGTTCTATACCGTTCTGTTGAAATTTCACCTTAAAAGATGAAATTGCGTATGAAATCAAACGAATGAGAGCTGATGCAGAAATTCACTAATCAATAAAATAACATGGCTCATTTTTATGACATATACTTACATCCATCAGCGTTGTAATATTTCTTTTCAACAAAACATCCTTCATCGTCAGAAGCTTGTTGAACTGCAAGACTCATACTAACAGAATAAACGACAAATATTATATTCCATTCAAGGTAAGGTTTCTTTATTTAAAAATGAGAATGAATGAGAATAATTAGTCTGATTTAAGAACAGGCGAGGATTTTTAGTCAAATGTCTTATTACTGATATCGTTTATGAGTTCTGAATCACAGACAATGCTCACCACTCTGACTAAAAAAGTGGGGGTAAATGCCTAAGAGTGCTATTGTTAATGCAAATAAATATTACAATCCCTAAACTGCTCAACTAGCAATCAAATACAGTCTCACAATACAAGATACAATTAGATGAGATCCATTAAAATGATATACTTACATAAATCACTGGAAAATTAGTTGCGTAAGATATTTATGACTTCAAAAAATCGTTAGTACATGATATGAATACAATGGACAAGAAATATAATGAAGTGATTATATCGGCACCCTTATCACCGCAATCACTGTTATACGACCAACGATAGGAATTCAGTGGTAATTTAATTATTTAGCTTCAAACAGTAAACTGAAAGAAATATATTACAACCTTTTTTCACAATCTGTGACATCCTATCTTTTTTAAAACTATGGCACTTGTCCGCCTTAGACTTCCGATACTTTCTACTCGGACGACTTTGTGAACAGATTGGATCATTCTTCATTGTTATCCTTTAATTATGCTCTTATCCACTTAATAGAGGCGATAAAATCGAATAGAACTAACCATTCACATCACACTCGACTATTGTAGCACATATGAAGAAATGCTAATTAAACGAAAATGTTCTGAAATAAGCATCTGCAATTAAATTAAAGCGATCACACAGCCAAAGATTCAAGAAATAGATAAAGTACAGGCAGAACAAACCGATCATGAGTTAACACCGATCAAAATTCACCGAAAGAGGGTGAAAAACACGTACAAGTGCAACATACTGGTTCCCCTTTAACTTTCATAGATTCACTCTTTATGATTCAAAACTCGCTGCTAATTGCTGGCATGCAGCCAATTGTCTTTAATTTTTACAGGCAATAGTTTTAGGACTCTTTATGATTTAGTATTCTATAAATTATGCTTCAAAAAGTGTAATAGAATGAATTCCTTACTCGATCTGCCTGAATCAAGCCGAGATATTGAATATCGCCATCTAGTACTTCACATTACCTGGAAATAAGATCTATTGAGATTATTTTAAGAGTGTGATTACAAGATTGAAAGTAACTATAGAAACTGAAACGATGCCATCAGACCGTTTTGAAATCAAACAGCGTAGTTTGAATTATTTTTCATGTAAAATGAATGAAAAAACATGAGTTAAATGAGCTGTCTTCCCTCAGAAGCGCTGGTACATCAAAAACAAAGTGTGTCATTCATATTCACATTCTGTCATTGATTAATCGTGATTTTCAGTTTTGCGTAGAGACTGCTGCTACTATAGGCCACTGATTCCAATTTATTTTAGAGCAATGTTGGCAAGAAATGCTTAAAGTTAGTCTGTCAAAAATTTTAAGCAAAATGTTACTAGCAACGATAGAAAATATACAATGACGGACTTGCACTGCGGACTACGTCCATTCTCTTGCGATTGCTTGCTTAAACACCAGAATATTGACGGCTTTTAAATAAGCGATGTGTATTATCAGTGATGCTAATGTCTAAATATACATCACATCCGAGCCAAGCCAAACCAAACTTGCCATGCTAAACCAAGCCTAGCTAAGCTATGCCAGGCCAGACCAAGTCAAGCCACTTGTCGCAAACCCATCTCTGCTACCACTCCTTGCGCCTAATGTCAGTAAAACTCGTCAATTACTCTCAGAAATGGTTCGATTAACTGAATCTATCGTTTACAGCCGCACAAAATTCACTGCTGAATCTGTTCGGAAATTGAATTTGTGGTAAGTTTTTGACATTTGTATTTACTTCTGAGTATTTTGCAGATGCAAAAAATATGCCATCCATTAATTTAAGCAAAAATAATTTTTCATCTTGTAGTTTTCCACTTTTTGTGATGCATTTTCTTTCTACTTCACAGTATTTTTATGCATTCCCCAATAATTTTAGTGTTTGTTTCAGCTTAGCACATAATTGAATGATAGTATCAATTAGATGAGAACAGAAGTAAGCTCTATACTAAACTGATTTTCTTAGCAGTCACTGACCATACATATCAGTGATGGCATTCAAGTCTGTTTACTAACTGCTACATGAAATTCCTTCTGTAGTCTCTCAGCAAAGAGACTGAAATTGATTGCACTTAAAAATGCATCATTTTTATTTTTGAATTTGCTTAATCAGCATCGCTCAAGTTTAATACTTGCTATACTAAGTATACTTTCAGGGGTTGTGATATCGACGACATTAATCTATGCTCTGAAATGGTCAATTTGCAAATTCTTTCTTTGAGGTTATTTGCTTAATAAAATTTAAGAGCTTAACAAAGTTGTTATAAATAAATAAAAGACAATGTTTCTGTCTAAAATACGTTGTATTTTACATAAGCAATAGATTACTGCGACACTAGTCGTAATTTTAGCATGAATAAAGTGAAGTGCTTAAAAGCGCTAAAGAACTGTGCAAGACTAGAAGAATTATATCTTCGCAAAAACGAAATCAGCAATTTAAATGAGTTAGAACACCTGAAAGATCTGAAATCACTGAAAATTTTATGGATTGATGGAAATCCTTGTACAGCTGATAACATGCATCGTGCTAAAGTTCTAAAAATTTTGCCTGGTCTTACACGCTTGGACGACAAACGTAAGTAAATATTTGTGCAAGTATGAAAAGTGAATCAAAATAATACTTGGTACTTTCACTACCTGAAATTTTAATACAGATTTTCAGTCTCGCCATTGCATTATGCTCACAATTAATCAAACTAATTACTTTGAATCATTAAATAAAGCAGAAAACAATCACTTGATATGTATAGATTAGTATGCTAAAAATCAATTTTGTATCTGGTATTCTTTTACCATGAACAATCAGGTAATAAAGTATTATACATTTATATTCCAAAATTTTAGAGTAAACTTATATTCTACATATATTCCAGCTGTATCTGTAGAAGAAATTTTGAATGCAAGAACCGATCAGGAGGTCACTATTATCACGGGATCTGATGGAAATAATGAGCTCATAGAAACCAGAAGAGTCGTGGATACTATAATGCCAAATATTCCTCGAATCCAGCAATTAATTACTAATTATATCATGGATCAGAATCCTGTTTGTATCTCTCAAGAGCAACCTTCAAAACTTATGATCACATCCTCATCTGATGGAATCAACGAAATAGGAAATAGCAATCTCCGGAACTCTGATGAATGCCGAGATTTGAGGTGGGGTATTCTTTCTATCTTAAGAGAACGTTTATCTATTCTCATAGGAAACCAGAAATGAGCTAGTAGATATGTGTGGAACTTCCTTTAATGAATATTTAACGTTTTAAATCAGAACTAAAAAGTCATACTATCCTAAAGTTATCTGAACTCTGCTGATAACTCACTACAATCGAAATGAGCTGAGATGGTCTATTTCAGCTTACAGATGTCACCACCATTTGAAAATGAAAGCAATAATGCAATGTTTCGCAGTATGTATGAACGACCTAAAACTTCTCAAGCGATCATAAATACGTCTCAACGCAGTAGCAGCCTTCCCAGAGTCAGAATTCATTCAGTCACTGTAAGATGTTCTTTTTTTATGACTTTTACTACATTTCATATTCAAGCAATAATTATGGGAAAAAAAATTTCTCGTATGCCTGTCAATTTCAGCATCAGCGTAAGTCACGTATTATATCCGCAATTGGAGTGTTATTGGATGAACTTGATGCAAGTGGCTTACGTGATGTTATCGAGGAAGCACAGTGTAGGATTAAAAAGTTACGATGAGTAGTAACAACATAGAATGCATCTTGAGCATGTGTAGTTGAACTGTTGACTACGATTCATTGCATCAAAAAATTATCCGTAAAAATAAACCGAACGATACGAAGACTTTTGTGAAATTAAGTTTACTTCTGGAAAAACTTGTGGCAAACAAATGCATTGAAGTCATATTTTGTACTGAAGTTGAGTACTGAAAAATCTTTAGCATACTGTGTCTGCTTTTTTTGCTCTACCGTATGATTCAGCTCTACTTCCTATACGATCAAAGTAGTGATGAAATTTATAAATTTGATTTGACTTTTGAAGGACTGAGGATAGGTTAATAATGATCATGTAGCTTAATAATGATCAAATCCGGCTGTTTACTGGTGACTTCATTAAAATGTAAAATATTTGCATTCGATCGGACTGGTAAATTCTGCTCTTCAGTCATATTCAGTAAAGATAAGTTAAGGTTTTTATTTAAGTAAATTTTCAATTTTTTTCACTTTCATTGATTAACACAAGGACAGTACTTCGTGAATAGTATTCGTACATTCCTTGTAATTAAGGAAGCACTCGCAGTTATTTGAAAGTTCATATTTTTCCTTATGGGTTAGAAAACACTTGCAGTACACTTTTCACTAAATAGTTGTAGCTATTGAGCCGATATCAAAAGAGCAATATAGATAATAATAATAATAATAATAATAATAATAAATATATTACATCGTGACTATCATTTTATCAAAATTGATGAGCTGATGAATTATTTTTTGTGATTTCAGTCATACTTTGCGTCCTTTGTAAAAGATACTTTAAGATATGAAAGTATTTACCATGCATTAAAATTGATTGTGCTCATTAAAAAGGATTACAATTGAAGTGTCAAGCCAGTGATTGATTGTGTAAATTCGCTGTGAGCATAGAATAAATAATGTGAATAAGTAGTTGGAAAGAATGTTGAGAGCTTCTAAGCTCCTCTCTCTCTATGCGCTGTCATTTTGAACGGAAGAAGTGAATTGGAAATGATAGTGATGGATGGAAGTTGCTGGAGTGCTTGCCAGATTGAAAGTAAATTTGTTCGCGAAAGGAGTACAGTTCTTGGAAGTAAAGCATTACTATTCTCTACAATCCAAATCACACTCTCAGATGCAATTCAAATTTGCCAACTAAATAATACAAAGAATCTGTTAACTTCTGTACTGAATAACTAACGCAGCTTCTGAGAAAGATTACGAGATACGAGATTATGCGGCAAGAAGTGTGGCCGTAAAATGTACCTACCTTTGTAAAACGTAATTAAGAAATGATATTATTTATCAAGAATTTAAGTGGGAAATTTCGAGAATGCCTTGCTTGAGTGAATTCTAACGTGCATTATTAATATTTGTCAGAAAGTTAGTTAGTTAACCTCAAAGATTTGAGAGGAAATTGTTGTTTTTTACTTTTACTTTGTGTTATTTTCAAATAGAAATAAATGCGCGTACGGAAAGAGAAGTACACAAAAATGATTATGTTTTAATTTTTTCGCTCGAATAGGCGTTAGAGTAGCGTTTAACGGAGGAAATCCTGTAAAGAATTCTACACTTTTCTTCTTGCGCATCTTATCGGGCCAAGGACGACCATACTTGTACAAGTCCAAGACAAACGACATAAATTTCTGGTTGTTGTGAATACGCGCTTCCTTTTGTAAGTTGTCCCATTACAAACGCATATATAAATACAAATAATTTGGCACCGTTTCTGAGATACTTTACGGACTTACTTCATTGCCGCTTAAGGCAATGCTTCTACTTATTCCTGCTTTCTTACTACATTTACTACAGGTTGATTTATGTTTGTTGTTTGAGACTAATGCTTGAGAGATGTAAACTTTATTAATTGATAAAAAGTTAATAAGACTAATTTTTTCTTACAAAAATTTGCAGCTGTTAGCAGTACTTGATGTTGTTGTAAAATTATGCAAATTAGCAAACTATTTTTAAGTTTTTTATGCGTAAAAAATATAAAGCTGTGAAATAATTAGTAGTCTTTTGTCTTTTATAAAAATAATAAGTGGAAAAAGGCTTCGCGCAAAATTATTACAAACAGAAATTTTGTCTACACGACTTTTTGTTTCTTCCAACTATTTGATAACTTTTTGTGATTATTTGTATTGTTTTCAGTCTACTAAAGCGAAGAGAGTGGACAATAGGCTCATAGGTTAGCATTTCAGTTTTCCAAGGAATAATCCTCTTTACTGTTGCGCAAAAGGTTTATTCGGCAGCTTCTATTCTGAGCGTTTGTTCTCAACAAATACTCAAAGTGTTAATATTTATGCATCATTTTTTCTGCAGAAAGTGTTATCTCACTCATACTTGATCATGTTTTCAGCATCAAAGCAAAAAGTTGCAATTTACTAAAAGATAAGGTTAAAACTTGTTTATAGATTCAAGAAGCAAAAACTTTCATAAGGTACATTACAGAAGTACCTGAGGTAACTTGTGGGCCACAGCAAATAACTGTTCGAGGTAAAACTGACGAACCCTTTGAAGGTGTTGTTTTCGTAAAAAATTGGCGACGTACTGAACTTTGCTCTGCGAGTTATTATCTGAGCCAAAATACTACTGAGCCATCATTTTCCATTCCATTAAATCGCATTGAGCAATGTGGATTGGTACTACGAAGAAACGTAAGCATTATTTTCATTAATATTACTCTTAGTACTAATGTAACTGCTGAAATGTGAATGATAATTTTGTTCTACACTAAATGAATGACAACAATTCTTTACAATAATCCTTCACTCTCAGAATAACAACAAGTTTGTTGCAATAATTGTGCCCGAAGCAATAATGTCACACGAATCAAATCGTGTCTGCCACACAACAGATTACTTTACTGCACTTTTGCTTGCTGTGCATTCTACTCGGCACTGACACATTTTATCAAATGATTACTTTGTGAGATTCATTTATCCTCTGAAAAAACTCAAACTAACTGTGCACCTCCCTAGCTATTGCCAGCATATTTGTTCAACTTGAACTTTCACTGCACCACACATACTTCCTTCTAAGCATTGATATAGCAGCGTCACTTTGAATGATTGAAAAGAATATTTGTGCAAAATTTTGAGCGAAAAATTGACAGTGTGAAATGACTAAATTCTCAGCAATAAATGCAAGCAATCGTCGAGAAGTTTGCCAAGTCTTTCAACTACTTCCTTTCACTTCAACGATAAGTACTACTCCGGAAGGTATTTTCGACTGACTCTTCTTGATGAGAAGAAGTTTGAGTTGAGTTCAAATATTCGTTTTCTCGAATTAGGTTAATTTTTGTTCTTTGATTTCATTTTCCTCGTCAAGTTCAGCCTTGAATGGCAACAATTTAGCCATCAATTTCATTTGCATGCAACGGCAGTCGATGTTTCGCCATTTTGAGGTCAAAAGTACGTTGATATGTCGCACATACATTTTGTAGTCTCAGTTTGACTACATCAGGCACATTTTATTACTTTCAGAGCAAATTTGACTGTCTTGCAATTTTTAAATTTTTTGCAAATTCGCTCCTTTATTCTCCAGATAATTATTATAATCAATAGTAATTAAGATTAATCAGAAATCAAGTCAACTTCTTAATAATTCCAAGTGAAGCAATTTTCATTCCCTATCGAATAAAAGCCACGGCACAATCATTTGACACTTAAGGTAAATATATAAAATGTATCGTTAATGAGGTAATAGGTCAAATGAATTTGAAAATTTTTAACACTAGGATTGGCGGGAAATTTTCCCTCACTTTCGTATTCTGCAACTAACTAAAAGGATTAAAAAAGTACTCATTACTAAGTTGCAATAATATTTAATGCAATAATTAATGCTGAAAAGCTGCTGATATTAAACATTCGTAAAATGAAAAGAGTGAACAACTGATATGCTCTTTCACACTTTTACCTCATGTTGAACTTGTAATTTTCGACTTACTGTCAACTTCTTAATTTAAGTGTCTGTTTTGAATGAGAACAGAACACTAACAACAATCAACGTAAACGTGATAATTAATAGCAAAGCCATTTCGTATCTTAGAATAGAACTGATTCCTTCAAGAAGGCATGTTGTGTGGTTGAATAATTTGTGAGAGAGAACGACTGGGTGAGCAAATGAAATTCAAATAAGTGCAGCAGAGATGTTTTATTTGCATTAAATCGCAGTATTTATAGCAACTTTACGAGTAGTTTTTAGTGACAATTTTTTTAATCAGTACTTTTTCTGCGTATTATTAAGCAAAGAAAATTGTGATAATAATCATTAAGTTGCACTGATAATTAACTGCAATGATTAGTGCACTAAGAAGTGCTGGTACTGAACAGACAGTTAGTTCATTTGCTCACTTATTTAGCACTGAAACCAGTCAGTACCCGACGAATAGAAGGTATTAACAAAAGATGCTTGAATCAGCTGTGATTAAGACCAGAAGCTGTTAAACAAATATTTGAGAAAGAGTTTGCATTCGTTACTAATTCAAACGATGAAATGTTATTTGCTATTTATGACTATTCGGTTGGCTTCCATCAGCTGAAGTCGAAGAACTCTAGAGAGTATTAAATTCCATTTTGTGCTCAAGTTTGCATTCAGTGAAAAAATTAGCATTAGAATACATTAGCTTCGAGTGATTAGCTTTTGATAAGTGAGTGAATTTTCAATATTTGTTCTCACTTCGGCACTAACTTATCGAATAATTTCGTGCATTGCCTATCAAAAATAATTCAAAAATTCTTTGAGTTCTAAGAAAGAAAAGAATTTCGTATTTTATACGCTTCAGCTGGCTGAGGCAAAGAAACGAACGGTTCTAGAATGAATACAAAAGGGAAAATTAAGTCATGTAATTAATCAAAGAATGGAATAACAATTAAGTTTTTTGTCTATTTTACAAAAATACTGCAAAGTCAGTAAACGAAAAAGTAACGAAAATGAATTAAAATTAAAACTATTCTAATGCAATTACTTTAATAAAAAGTAAAATTCAACAATAAATTTCAGTCGGATAGCAAAGAATTAGAGATATTTGTGGTCATTGTATTTAGTTTCCATCCAAATTTTGTCACCGGTGGAGATCGCTCATTTGCGGTACATTGCATATTTCAACAGCAAACTTTCAAGGTCGCCACTAAATTCAATTTCATTGCGTATGTTTAATTTGCATTCAGTTTGTTTTGGAATTAAATGTAATGCAAAGTGACAAGGTCACAAGGTCAGGTTAAAGGTAAATGAATAGAAAACATAATGACAAAGTCATTGATTTGCAAGGTTAAAAATGAAGGATAAATGAATTGCATTTCCCAACCAGTTTTTGGAAATTCATGCTATTATTATATATATTTGTGAAATTTTTTTCCGTAACTTCAAGCTGTTCCTCAATTTCTATTGAAAAGTTGAACATCACGTCCATTACAATTTTGTGTACTTTACAAAATTATGCATGTACTTGACAAATGTGCATTTAGAAACAGGCAAATACTTCATAAATTATGCGAAAGAAATAATTTGTTTTGTGAAAGCCAAAGATGGTCGTAGAGCACTGCAGATAAATATTGACTGATATTGTTACGGGTTAACAAACTGATTGTACCACTCACGACTCATACCGAAGTAGGTAGACTAGGGAAAAGGACCAAAGCTAGATGTTTACTGGGGAAATAATATAGAAACAAATATGATTTGGACTTTACATAATGAATCTTCAGAGACATTTCCACACGTGGCATCATCGGTGCTACAGCTCAGCTGCCATATGTGAGTTTACAAATCGTGGAAGGACGTGTACCCGATCCGAAGTTAAAGTCTGCTACGATAGTTTCCGTTGGAGATCCCCTTATGTTCATTTGGCATCTAAACTCTTCAACAGGTTCTCTTTGTTTTGCTGCTATGCTAACGATACTATGACAAGTAGTGTTAATTAACGACCATTCTACAAGCTAAATGTTTACTTAGGAAAAAATATATTAAGATCTGTTTAATGATTCAATTTCTGACTGATTGTGAGCAAGAAAATAATAGGAATCTATGGTGTTGTGGTCAAAGAATGCTATGTAGAATCTGAAGATGGTCGTAAAATCAAAATAATCGATCACGGTTGCTCAATGGATCCTCTCATCGTATCTCACGTACAGTACTCCGAGAATAATATAAAGGTGCTACGATTAAGGCTTAATGCTTTAAAAGTTATTGAAATTAATACTGAAAAAGATAGTTTCCGAAGTTTTTCAAACGATTCGAAAGGAAGCAAAAACAGAAATTTTCTCGAAGACGAGAAAAAAGAATGTAAACAGGAAAGAAGACATTGAACTTCGTAAATTTATAGATTTCACTGCAAGCTTGAGAAATCAAAGTACTAGTTTGCAATACTAAATTGATTATTAATAAAAAAACCATTTCATATTTGGGATTCTGAAAATTATGTTTACGATTAGAAGTAGGTTTTTAAAGGCATTTGCTGATGGCTCAGCTTTCAAATTTCCTGATGCTGAAGAAGTTTGGGTGTCCTGTGCCGTGGCTGCTTGTCTTCAAAAGTTTGACCAATTTACTGACACCGATTCTGATCACATTTGTGATAAGCAACCAGTATGTCTTCACTTCATTTGTTTTCATTAATTTTTGAAATCAACTCAAATACTTCATTTCGAATGATTAGATAGAATCTTAATATCCTTCTTTGTTTACACATGTTTAGAACTCAAGTTGTCCAGTCCAGCCTTATTTAAGTCTTGAGGATTAAGCCTAAAATCTTATTGTGACTTCTTTTGCAATCAGCACATACTGTCTCATAGTTAGTCATTTCCTTCAATCGTCTTTTCTGGGTGTTGGTAACTTCGCATATGATGCATAATGTCATTGAGAGCTCTCTCTATATACATTATCTATGTTTAAGAGACAAAAAGTGGTTCAAAAATGACTTCTTAGGTCTTAAACCTTTCCAAATTACCCAGATATTTCACAAGATTCGAACTTACTACTGTATTTCATTGGAATATTTTCAACTAATATGAGCCAAATAATTTAGAGTTGTTCAAAACGAGACAAGCGTTCAAGTAATAAGCAAGTGGAGGAAAGTGCTGAAATTTACTTAAATGATGACATGGTCCATCACAGACTTCGTGTCATTGATCAACCTACACACACTATACCCTACCGAGGTATTCTTTTGACCTCCCTAAACTGCTTACTTTCCTTGATACTATAGATACCCTCATACATAAAACCTTCATCTCTTGAAGTCCATCTGAATTTAATTCTGTGAAAACATGATTTGCTTGAAGAACTCTTGACTATTATTATCTACATAAAATAGTTTACTGCAAAACAAAGTTAGGAATCAAATTACTTTACCAATAATTCAGTCCTCATATGTCTAACAGTAAGCTTTTTCAGACACCGAAAAAAAATTGCTAGATGATTCTGATGAGATTTGCATGGAGAAGAACTTCTTTGCTGGAACATATGCTGCTTTGGCAACAGTGTATTTAGCTGCAATAAGCTTAGCAGGTGGCTTCGGTTTATCAGTTTACCGATCTCAATCTAAAAATTGAAGTTCGTGTGCAAGAATAACTCGTTAATTTTGTTTTAAGACAGATAAAGCATCTAATTCTTGCATCTGAAACTTTTGAGTGCAATTATTATTTTCTTCGTGAATCAAAAGTTATTGTACCGTAGAAACAATTATTTTTCCACATCAAAGATTTTCGATTTCAACTACATTTCAAAAGATTTTGAGCATCAAAAAAACTGGGCTAGTTGTTATAAATGAAATTAGGCAACTAATAGACAAACACAAACTTATTTTCTTACAGTGGCTGAAACAAAAATTTTCACAAAAGACTCATTTCATATGACAATAAAACATCTGAAATTAAATTTATTTTTACCTGCTTATAAAATATACACAGCAAAGAACTTTCAATTCAGTTCTTTCACGGAACATGAATAAATTTAGGTGTAAAATACTGTTTATCAATTTTCTGGCAAAATTCAGTTAAGTTTGAATATCGTCGAAGGCAGTTTGCTAAATCCATGTTCGGCAATTCTGTAGTCAAAATGGTATAGAGATGACCAAATGCTAGAGCATCTAATGCAGTAGGTGATTTGCTGAGAAAATAGCTAAACGAGGAACATTATCAATAAATGAACCATAATTCAAAATGAATGAGTATGTAAATGAGTCATGATTTTATCACAAGAGATGATATAGAATTAAGGGATTGAATTATATAGCTTGCTTACAAAATCATTAATAGAAGGCTAAAAATATTGACTATTTACTATTACAAAGCACTCAAAAAGTAAGACAACCAACTCGTTAGATGCAAGTTTCGATGATATACTTTTGAAACAACGATCAGCCAAATCAATGATACATTCTTCCGACTTATTCTTCCATCCCAAAGCATTTAAATATCTGCTCATCTCGCGTCGCTTCAATCTAGGTAAAATCACATTTAGAGGCCATGAATACACCGAACCATAACGGTTTTCAGTCACTTGCCAGTAATTTCTGTTATCTATCCACATCATATATATCTGAAATTGATCAAGCTTTCAAAGATTTTCCAAAACTGGCATTGGAAGAAAAAATAGATTTTTGAAATACGATAAGTTCATAGTAAACATAAATTTGTCATTAGAAGGATTTTATAAGTCTTTAAGAAAAGGATAAATAAATCTTTTTAAGTATTTCAGTATTCAAAAACAGAAAAAATTAAATCTGGCAAACTATAAGAGACTTCAATATTTCTCAACATTTCTTCCAAAAGAGCCATGTGTGCATACATATCTGCTTGTTCAGCATCCGTCAAACCAGCTGATAAATTTACGCCCTGCATACCAAAAATTGGAATTACGTAAATACAATGATTAATGTCGATAATTAAATAGATAAGCTTATAAATATTACTAAATTTTATTGAATGACTGAAACAGATAAAGATCTGCAGCATGTGAACTACTTCTAAATAAATGAATCAAAAGTAACAAAAATTTTTGCACATACACGTTTTGCAACAAAATCAACAATTGGTTGAAATCCAGGTATTAGAATTGTTTGCAACTTCAAAAATGGAACTTTCCCTGATGGTGACATAAATTCCGCATTGGGACGTTCTTCCAAGTGTACTGGCAGTTCAGCCATTTTCAAAAATGCTTGCACTGCTAAACAATCAGCATACTGAAAAATTTTCTAGTCTTAACATCAATTAGGTGCTACCTATCAATAATAAAGTAAAACTTTGATAAACATTTCAAAAGTACAAGTGGAAAAAGTAACAAACATCCAGCCAAAATTCTAAAAATTAGCATAAAACTAATTATACCTCGTAGAGTAAAGCTTGCTCATTATGGCATGGAGTGAACAATGCAGCATCAGACCATTCCACATCAAGTTTCGAAGATAAACTATCAGCAACCAGATCGGTCATAAAGTAACTTGCTGTCATTGCTGCAAATGACTAATACCGACAGAAACTGCATTTATTTATAAGCACAATACATGCTCATCAAAATTTAAAGAGGATGTACTTCTTATTTCTTGAACAAGTAGAATGAAATTTGGAACAATTGTTCCAAAATCTTCCCATACCTTACACAATTTCTCATGAAATACAAGTGTTCACTACATTATATCAACACATGTCATGTCTTGTGACAGAAAATTTCTCACAACTTATCACATTTTCTAAAAGTGTATAGTATATAAAGAATCCCACTAATCACACAGGCGCAATATTTCCATACCATTTCAGGTTAAAAACCTTGCGTGGAAAAAGAAGTTAAACTACATTTATCTAAATTTTCAATTTTCGCAAGCAAGTTCCTGCAGAAAAACATGGCATCCTTGAATTTATTAGACAAATAAATGAAATGATCTTAAAAACAATACAATAGCTTCAAAACAGTTAAAAAAAAATAGCTTTATCTCACAAAGTTGACAACATTAGCATTAACAACAAAACACTGAAAAAGATCATATTTAATGTTCTTCATTATATGATAATCACGATAACTAAAATTGATTTTCCGATTTCACAAGATCTTTCTTTTTCCTCGATAAAGCTCCATTTTTCCTCTTCATACCCTAAAAAATATATGAAATCGAAATAACCAGCCATAAACTAAATTTGAAACCATAAAATATATTTACTTTTTAATTTTCATCAAAAAAAAAATGCATAAACATAATTAGCTTTCAATCAAATTTAAAAATTTAACATGTGACATTCTATAAAAATACCTTTTGTGCACTTTGCAAAGTTTCCTTTAAATTGAGTAAAGCTTTTCGATACAATTCCTCGGTCTCAGCATGCTTTACTCCATCAAATTTCTTCTCCTTCACTTCTCCGGTAAAACAAACTTCCTGTAGAATTTTTTGAAAATCCTTTTTCTGAAAAATATGCGTGCAATATTTAATACCCAGTTCACAAAAAAATTTCAACGTCACAAAAGGCAAAGATACATTAATTTGACAACAATTTGAGATCTGCAAAGCATCAATAAAAACCATTACTTCTTTAGGAGTAATAATAGAAATGGCTATTCCTTTTTTTCCACATCTTGCTGTTCGTCCCACTCGATGTACAAACAATCTCGCGTTTAATGGCTTGTCATAATTGATCACGACATCTATATCTTCAACGTCGATCCCACGGGACATTACATCGCTCGAAATAAGAACTCTAGTGGTCCCTTTCCTGAACCTAAAATAACATTATTCTTCTAATTAATTTTTAAGCAGAAAGATTAGGAAAAGCAAATTATAATTAGGAAAATAACAATCAACTCGAAAACCTTTTAAAAGATGTCTAATATGATTTGAAAAGCAGAAAAGCAAACCTCGCCAAAATTTTCTTTCGACGATTACCGAAAAGGTTAGAAGAAAATTCTTCAACTTGATATCTATTGCCACTTAGCATCTTTAATACTAACGAAAGTCGGAAACTGGCCATTCTAAATAAGTAAAATTTTGCTCGAAAAAAGAATTTTGCAAACTTAGAAAGAAATAAGTTTAAGCTCTTAGATTTTATTAACAGGAAAAGTTTACTTGCTATTAACGAATATTAGAACTCTTTTCCATGATTTTCGCCGTTCAATTCGTTCATACGTTGCCAGGGGCTTCAATTTATTATCACACATGATATATTCAATCTTCAAAGAAGATGGAACGATAACATCATTAGCAGCAGACTCGCCAGTCACAACTATATCCCCTTTAGCTGCCCTGCAAAAAGAAGAAATATAAGTTCGAAATCAACAAAAAATAGCAAAAGCTAATCATACTCTAAATTTCCCTCATACGGTTCAGTAATTCAATTCAAGGAGTAGCAACTAGATACTGGTATAATAAAATAGTCTTACTTAAATAAACGAGGATGTCGAAGGCCCCATTCACGAAGATCTTCAATATCTAATGACAATGTTGCAGACACAAGTATTTTTTGCAGAAAATTTCCATTATAAAGATCATCAACCGTAGCGCAAGTCTGGTCATCTTAGATAAGTTAAAAAATAAGCAGAAAACTGAGGAATAAAATAATATCAAATGATGTAAAGAAAAGACTTGCGCAAGATACAAAATAACCCAATAAATAACAGTGCACTCTAGCACAAGATATTTTTAATTATGTATGACCTATTTAAAATTCACCTTGCTACACTGCTCTGGAGTTTAATTAATTGAACAATTATCATTATATTATCAAAACTTCATACTATTAAAATTAAAATTTATACATCTGGCAACAGCTTCAAGATCACTAAGCCATTCAATACGAGCTATATGCGACATTCGATCTGCTTCATCAACTACTAAATATCTAAAATGCACAGTTTTTGTAAATTAAAAATGAGAGAAAATTACATGTTTTAAAATTATTCCTAAACACTCAAAAAGAAACAAAGATCTTTTCTGAACAAATTTCATTAAAAAATTAGGTCCTCAGAAAATACAAATTTAAGATTCTGTTTCTTCTAAACCATTTAAAGAACTCATACATACAGAAACTAAAGAAAAATACTTAAAAAATGTGTGTACCGTAAGTATGCGAAATTTACATGGAAATCCATATTCGTTATGTGTTCCATTAAACGACCCGGCGTAGCTATCGCTATTTTCGCATTTTTTAGTTGATATCTCTCTGCATTAATATCATGATTTCCACAAAGTGAAACGATAGGAACATTGAAAACATTATATTTTTTAAATTCCTGAAAAAGAAAACATAACTACATTGATTAGCATAAGTCACCATGGTCATTATTGCTCCTATATATGAAAATAATAAAGCACAAGCCTTCTCTATCTGTTCGACAAGATTTTGCACTGGTGCTATGATTAAAGCGAAAATAGAATGATCCATGGCAGATATTGTTCGCAAAGCATTCAAAATTGGAATCACATAACACAATGTTTTGCCACTACCTGTTGGAGCACTTATCACTAAATCTCTGAAATACTTTTGAGTCTGAAATTCATAGAGCAGCAAAAAGCAAACTGATTAAGAAAACAGAGAGAAATCAAAGAATTTAAAAAATCATCAGCTAACATCTAATAAAGACAAATTCAGAGATATATTCCAAAAGTTTCACATAATACTTGGTAAGGCTTTTTGATACATAAAGTATCAAAATATGATCACAATTTTGAATACTTTATAATCTATTTCAGGAAAATTAAATGGAATTGATGGAAGAATTAGACAATACCATCTAACTGCAATCAAGTCTGATCACTTAGTTAATCTCGTAATAATTTTACTAATTCTACCAAGTTATTAAATTAATTCATAATAACAATGAAAGATACTGACTGCATTAATGTTTATTGTTAGGTTTTCAAAAATCAAGCAATAGAAAATGAACTAATTCATGTATCTGCTCCATTACAGATCCGATTTTCCAGCGAAATAAACTATGAAATTCATTCTCTTTGAATCTTATTCAGCAAATTATGTCACCTTCTTAAGTTCAATGTAAAACAATATTATTGCGTAAAAGCATTGCAAACCTAGGCGGTAAAATTGAGCAAGCGTTAGTTGCAGCGACAAGATACGGAAGAGTCGCATGCTGCACAGGGTACCACTGTTTCAAGTGCTCTTTGATGCGATCCAAAAGTAAAGGATGCAAACTCTTAATAACATTCAAATCTGCACAACCTTCACTCCTTAATTCAGATGCAAACGTTTCTCCCCCGCTAATCCATTTTGGTACGACGCTGGAAAAATTTATTAAACTTCAACTGTAATTAAGCATTAGTGCAACATTTTACTGACACCAAGGAGTTTCCAACTAACTTAAAGTAACAATGCTCTGCTTATGAAATGAACATTCTTTGCTCAAAATACCTTTTCTTACAAAATACAACATAATAATCCACCTTCCCCATAAATCCCATTACTTACTGAACTTTCTTCACATCCAAAAAGATGTCATGTCCCAACACTTTGTACATATTCTCCCGGCAATCTCTATCTCTCACCACAGCTTTATCAATAATACTCGTACCAGGTTCTTCCTCATCATCAATTCCCATCCGAACTGAACCTGAAAATTCTGCATACAACCACAACCACTGGAAAACACTGTTAGTCATTTAACTTTCACCAAAATAAAACCATCCAAAGTTCTACTTTCGAAAGCTTATTCAAGTACTTTTTAAGATAATTTTAATTAAATCAATGCTTAAAATGAATCTCTCTATCAACTAACTTCTCAAATTCAGAAAATATAGAACCTCAAAATATAGTAAAACATGTTGTGTCTGAAAAATGAACTGTTTCAACAAAAAAAAAAATAAATTGACGGGCAATTATATTATTGTACAACTTCTACATAATGTAAAACACAAAAACAGAAGAAATACACCAGTTTATTGAAACATATTCAACATTTAGATACCAAATGAACAACAGAAATCACTTCATATTGGTTTCTATCAAATGAACATCTTCAATATTTTCCCTCACCGTATCAACCAGTACTTCAAGCGCTTCTTGAGCCCGAGACAAGTACCTTAGAATTACAAGCGTAATTATGACTCAAACAAAAATAAAATCAATCTTTCTATAATCCCATGCAAATAAAATTAAGAACTTTTTTGTCATCTATTTTTTCGCGACAAATGGAAAAAACATCTTCACTTAAATATAAAGCGTATAAATGAAGTCGATAAAAATTAAATTTTCAGGAAAAATGCAATTGAAACTCACTTTTTAATTAGTTTTATGTCTTTCTCTGTGAGTTTTAGACTGACACAATCCCGCACTTTCAAAGTTTCTGATTCATCGTGTAATATGGCCAGCAAGTTAGTTATGCGACTCTTAAAATTTTTAACTACGGATGTGAACAAAATACTTCATCACTTCACTTTCTGATGAAAACAAAACGCATGAAACCTTGATTTGCTGAGGACCTATGATGGATGCATTTAAGGCTTCAAGACGTGTCTCAAGATTTTCTTCGACATCATCAATATTGAGCGTATATTGCATAAGAAGTGACTGCATTGCTAAACAACGAAGTAAACGATGTGATAATTCTTTGTGTCGCTGCCTAAAAATGCTTCCATTCAAATTTAAGTTAGTGAATTCATACATAAACATGCATAAGAAATGAAAGACTTCAATAACATCAATAACATTGAAGCACTTAAAACAACAATGATTCAAGAAACCAACTGTCGATAAGAAAAGACATTTTTTCCTGCATTCAATTCATTACTGATTTTTGAAATTCTCTGCTTCAAATCTTCAAAAACACGTTCTTCGAGGCGTATTTCTGCTGCCTAACAAATATTGTAAAGACAAAAACTTTAATCAAAATTACGGACTCATATCAAAATATAATAGCAAAAAACAACAAAAGGCGGATTATCTACAACAATTACTTGCATATCTTGTCGTTTTCGCAGCTGTTCAAACCCCCGAATCGGATATGGAAGCAATTTTTCAGGATCTGGATTTTCACGAACAGCTTGCTGCCAAACTTGTGCATCAAATCCTAAAACAACTAGATAGGTCGAAATTTCTGCAGCTGTAACTTAAATCATAACTAGAATTTTTCAACTCACCAGGAGGGGGATTTTTTACAAAAGCATCTTTTTTTGCTCCATCGATTGTGGTTCGGGGTACAATGGTCACTACACAAAAGTGATTTTTTAATTGTGTTTCTTGTGTAGGTTGTTTGAGATAGGCACATAATTCTTTACTGCTAGGCCTGCCTTTCCCTTTTTCTATAACATAAAGTAAAACCTGAAATGAAAAATGGATAAAAGTTCAAGATCACATTAAAAAAATGAAGTAATATTGCTTCATGAATTTTATTGTTTTCATCAGATTTTTACTCAACTAAAAAATTTACTTCAGTTTGGTTATCTGGAAGTGGACGAATAAGTTCAATGTGACATCGCACATTGGTATTATTACCCAAAACAATATTCATTGAATCAATAAACTTTTGTCTTTGAGCAACTGTTGAGAGCTGTTCATAATTTATTCCTAAAGTTAATGCTACTATTCCATCAATGTCAGCATAATCACTCCGTCTGAAATTATGGCATACAGCACTTCATGATAATTGCATTATGTATTTTTAATAATGCGTAGACAAAAATTAACCTTATTATACATTAAATTAAATATGATGTAAATGCTAGGAACATCATCAGTCATTGTTAAAAACTAAAGAACAAAAACTGCCTAGCACTAGCAATTGCTCAGCAGGTAGTAAAATAATTATCCGACAATTAATTTTCTGAAAATTATAAATACAGCTTTTGTATTCGACCTAAGGTAGCACTAATAAACTAGTCAATATTCAGCAAGGAGAAAACGATGAGTTTATAGCCCACCTACTGTAACCTACGGCTTTAAATTGATAAAAGGGATTGTCCATATTATAAGCAACAGGTTTTTGATCTCCGCTATGATATCCATCGCCTATTCCACATGCTGCTAAAAGCTGATTCAATTTCGCAACAACTCCATCTCTTTCATCTCCGAAAAGATCAGGTGACGTTAGAGATCGAATGAGATATTCTGAATTCTGAAACCTGTGCTTTACAACGAAAAATACTTGTCAGTAAAATCAAGCGTTCAATCGTTGCAATCCGACTTTTCTTATAACACAGGGCCTTGTTCACTAATATAAATGTCTACATTTCATTTTTGTGTTACAAATATATTAATTACATATAGTGTTACAAAACATAGAGGCAACATTTTTATTGAGGGAAGAACCTGTATGAGATCCTGCACTGTAGAAAACTGAGGTGCCTGCTGCGTTGAAGTTTGAGTACTAAATATGCCACCTGGTTTTGATGATGATAATATACCTGTTGCTGTTCCCACTGTGAATAAGATAATTAGCGGAAAAAAATTCTTGGATCAGACAAAGTAAAAGAATTACGTCTTCTCGACAATTTTATGTGGATAGAATACTAATATATAGAAATTAATGAAAAAGTTCTCAAAACAATGCTTTATAGATATCTAATTTGTAGAAAAAGAGTCCACAGAGAAAACAAATTGAAAAAGAGTGGAAAATAGTAGGAAAATAATAATGCTAGCAAATTTTAGAGTTGTTCATATTTAGAGTTTTAATTTTAGAGTTGTTCATATTTGGAGTTGTTCAAAAATCTAAAAGAGTACTTTTTTTTAATCAGATTTATTTTCCTATTTTCATGATCGAAAACAGTGCAACAAACTCAAACTATGAACAACTCTAAAATTAAAAGAATACTGATAAACAATTTACTTTAGTATAAATCTGAAATACCAAGATAGGAAATGAGCTACCTATCTTCTGAATTTCGGAAACAGAAAATGAATTTTATAGAAAGATTACAAGAATTAAAATGGGCTACAAATGCAAAAAATTTAAAAGAGTACTTTTTGGAGCGAATAATCCACCAGGCTGACTCGAGGCAGAAGTTGTAGAAGTATTTCCAAACAGTGAAAACTGTGAAGATGTGGTGTTTATAGAGCCAAATAACGATGGTTGCGTTGTCGTCGCCGTGGGCATGCCAAATAATGATGGCTGCGTAGTGGTCGCTACAGCCGTTCCAAATAAAGATGGCTGCACGGTCGTCACTACAGATGCATTAAACAAAGAAGACTGCGTAGTCGTTGTCCCAAAAACGGGCTTATTAGCCGTGCTAAAATGAAAAAAAACTAGCAGTGAAATGGAAATCGTTGCTTTTATAAATACTTTTTCCGTGATCATAAAAAGTAAGTTAGTACATAAAGTAGCTCATATCTGATCAGTTATTAATAATCAATTTCCTGCCTTCAATCATTGCTACTTATAATTATTAATCCCCACACTTCTACTTCATAAAAAAACCTGGAAGAAGCAGTTCCGAAGCTAAAAATGGGTGCAGATGAAGTAGTAGCCAATTTGGATGCACCAAACAAACTCATTATGACCTGAAATAAAAGCATAACAGTAAATAATATATGTCAAAACAAATTATTCATATACATAGACTTGACCTTATTAGTTCACTGAGTCATAGACGCAACAATAGAGTACAAATACAAACTGCAAGTGAAAAAATGGAAGGTTAGAAACGAAAACTGGTAGAAACTAGTATGTCATTCTAAATGAAACACATAAAAGACGTAAATTTCAAGAATTTTAAATCTTTAAGTAAGGAAAATAAACGAAGACAGGAAGCAACATACAAAAGAGAAAAATAGAATCTTTGTCCTCAAATTTTATGAAATTTCAAAATCTATCTACAATAGACTCAAGAATCTTCGTCACCTCTTCTGCTTCCCGATGTCCATATATTTCTAATACATTGATAAAAAACACTTGTCACTTTTTTACTGTTAGTTTTTTGGGCAGTCATGCCATACTTTTCTCTCCTCAGTGAAGCGAAGTATTTATAAGCTTTGAAATTTCAGAATTCATTTTCAATTGGAATTTAAGTTTAAATCGAATATTTTTTGTAAGCTTTTGTAATTTTGTGCTAAATTCAAACGCTTGATGTAAAAATTACTTTTCGTGTTGCATAAATTTATCAAATAAGTGGCAGATTGATATTACGGACGGCCATTATTTTTTCTGTCAATTTTATGCTCCAATGCTTACGTCTTTGTTTATATTGCTCTCATCTTGTTGCAATTACCAAATTTGAATTTTTTTAACTGATTGAGTGATTTATTGATTTATTGGAGACTACATTTACTTATTTGAAATATGTAACCAGACTTATGTAGTTTCTTACTCGTAAAAATTGAACGTATTTGCAAACGACTTTGACTTGCGGTTCGTGATTAGAAATGCTAGTCATTTTTAATTGTTGACATTTATTGAATACGTAACATTTTGCTCTGCATTAAACTTGTTATCTTGCATGGAAAACTCCCAGAAGTACATACAGTATCGCGTACGTTCAATTAAATCCCATATTTGTCATTGTTTACAAACTTCTTTACAAAATTTGAAATTAAGCCTTCCCAGTCCCTTTGTGTACGACACTATGTTATAAGTAAAATTTGCTTGCTCAAATTCTCTAAGCATTTGTAGTTTACCATTTGAGCATTCAATTTCAGTATGCAATATATAAATTTCCTGCATGGCAATATTTTGCTTTCGTATCTCAAAAAGATTGCTAAAATTGTAGACATTTTTTTGGATGCTATTACAAATCTGAGCAGTTTTTAATGCAGTCTACCTTTAAAATTCATT